CCAAGACAGAATACCCATTGCGTTGAGTAGCTGAAGCCCACCCACAAACAATGTGGAATTTCAGATGGAATTAGAAGGATCAGCGGGAGGCAGAAACTAGAGAGGAGGAAAAAAATTTCTAGGTTGAGAAACAGAATAAAGCTAGAAAGGATTAAGAAGAGTCAGAATCATGGAAAAATCCAGAGAATAGACCAAGAAGATGGCATGTGGGATGAGTAGAGAGAATGAAGAGGGTCAGGAAAAATCCAGAAATCAGTTTTATGTTTAAATATACTGAAAACTAAGTCCAAATACTTTCAAATAAATTAACAATTGAAATGGCACTTTCCAGGTTACAAAACACCACACATTGTTTGAACTCAAAAATCTGCTGGAGTAATTTCTAGGTAAGCAAGTGAAGAATCAGCAGGAATCTTTAGAACTGGAAATTGGCAGAGACACACTGAAGCTAGGACCTCCTATCACACAACAGACTTTAAGAATCAAGGAATGAAAACACCAGGGGTATGACTTAATACATCGTCAATCCTGCCAACTTACTATGACCTTCTGTGTATTTCCTGTTCACCAACCTGACCTTAAGCATGTTAAACATTGCTTAATAACTTCAGTGAATGTACTGATCTCCCAAAAGGCTCATATCTACTTTCCTTTACACCATGTTCCTCAAAGACCAATGATAAATATTAAGTGCTCATTTTCTGTATGCAGAGGAGTCAATCATAAGATCCTGCTATTATTATATTTTTTGAGATCAGTGTCTCAATATGCCCGTTCAGGCTGGCCTTGAACTAACTCGCTATGTAACGTAGGCTGGCCTCGAACTTCATGGATCCTCCTGGTTCAGTTTCCCAAGTGCTGGAATTACATTATAGGCATGCACCACGACATCCGGTGTAATATTCTAAAGTAACACTATACCAATACCATATTTCACTGATTCTAAGTATTTTTTCTCATGTATCTTTGAAATTAGATGTATCTTATATTCAATGAAACAGAAACTTTCCGATCAATGCCCAAATTCTAATTTTTGTCACCTTCTCCTACTTTAAATGTTTCTTTGAAACACTGTAACACCCTAGGAAGGGGCATCCTACCTGATGACCCAGAAACCAAGATTATTATATCACTTCCCAGAATCATCCTTGAAGTAAACAAACAAACCTTTAGTTTTGTGTGGCATTATTTCTTTTTTTTCCTCTCTATGCAGTTCAGGTTGGCCTAGAGCTCACTTTGTAGTCTAGCCTGGTCTCAAACTCAAAACAATCCTCCTAATTCAGCCTCCAGAGTGCTGGGATTATAGTCGTGCGCTACCACGCCCAGCTTATTTTTTTTTTAGAAAAAGGTTAAAGTCTTAATTTAAAGCAACAGATTGTCTCATGGATTAAAAAAATGAGTAAAACAAAATCATCCAACAAAAAGTCAAGACATTTAAAACTACAAATTGTGACATAAAAGGAACTAGATGTTATCAAGTCACACCAAACTCCAGAAAACTAGGGTTAACATGATGTCCTCCCCTTTTTCTGGAAGAGCAACACATGTATAAAAGCACCAAGACCCACAGCTTTCCTATAAGTACGAAGACTACAATCATGTCTAAAAGCACACTAGGTATTTGACATGCAAGATCTCAGTTACTCCCTGTCTCTGTGATACCTACTCTTCAGAAAATGACACCACTTCGATGAAGCCTTGGTTCCTAATCCTGTATTATTTTGGTAAGTACTTCTTTTAAAAGTTATCTCATTGTCAGGCATTTTAGTACTATTCCTAGTTGCATGCTCTTTACAGCAGAGCTACATGCCATAATAGTTTCCATTAGAATTGGCTGCAAACGGTCAATGGAGCAGTGTAGCACAGGCAGGCTCCAGGTCAGTCAGCAGCTTGTCTTCAAACCCTGACTCTGCCACATAGTGGCTTGTACGACGAAGTAAATGCTCTCTGTGTCTTTCAGAGTGGGACAAACAATAGTGTCTACTTCTCTAGTGGTGTGAAGATTATATCAATCAATTTAGAGCACAAGTAAAGCCCTTAAAGCAACCTCTCTGGCACATAATAAGCATTCAACAAATGTTTAATGATGGGCTTGGTGGCACACACCCATAATCCTAGCACTCAAAAGGCTGACTACAAAGTGAGTTCAAGGCCAGACTGAACTAGAGTGAGACTTCCTCAAAAACCTAAGCAACCAACCAACCAAACACCTGTTAAATATCATTACCACCAGGCAGGGTCCTCTATAAGGTGCTGTGGCAGAGGTAACTGTCAGCCTACAAGCTTGATTTAGGTGTTCATGGTTTACTAGAGACTGGCAAGCAAAGGATGGTAACATAATATGATATCTGTAATATAATATAATATCTGTAATATAACATAATCTGTAGCCTGCATTGTTGAACAGAGGTAGCAGGGACTAGGAGAAGGTGATAAAACAGCACAAAGGAAAAATCTACACTTACAACACTCATCCTCCCTCGCCCCCAAAGCAGTTAACATTCAAGATCAAGTATTTGGAGACAAAAGCTTTTCTCCTCATTTCCCTGTGGAAGCCACCCAGCTTCACTATTTTGACTCTTACTTAGTCCAACTACTACAGGAACAGGAGAGGCCAGCCATCACTCTGGCTGTTTTTGCATCTGGCCACCAACAGGGTAGTTGCTAATTTCCTTGTGTCCAGTTCACTCCCACTTGCATGGGAATAGCTCACAGCACAATGGAAGAATGACTCTTAGCACTGCAGCTACCCTGAGGCACAGCAAGACCCAATTCTTAAAGTAAAAAAAATCAAATTGTATATTGTTCAGTAATTTGTTTCAGGAGTTATGACTGAGCTCCCAACCCTGAACTTCCTTAAAAAACAAACAAACAAGCATATTATTCCATTCTACTCCATGGCTTTCAACACAGGCCTGCCTACTTCCACTTCTGTACCATCCATGCATGCTCTATGGCATTGTCCCCACTGAAGTCAGGCAGAAATCCCAGCCTCACTCTCTAGGTATTTCTGTCTACTCATCACAAGGAAAGCAGGAAAATAGATCAAACTACTCTATAGTGTTACATGCAGAGCTGGGTTTAGAACATAAGAAAGCCTTAACAAAAAGGCTCACGAGTTTAAACATAATTTTACAACATATTAAGTTCTACAATTTAAGCATCAATACCTATCTTATAATTAACTTTCAGCATCCCTTTTCCTTCAGTGTTGAGTTTGGGTAGGAGTGGCTTTAGAGGGGGCAGCATATCACTGCTCTGCATCTCTAGTCCTTTTGAAAACTCATTTGAAAGAAGGTCTAACCAAGCTGTCCAGCTTGGCCTGGGGGTTGCAATCCTCCAGTTTTGGCCTCCTGAGTAGATGAAATTACAAGGGCTAGTCTCTTGATTCTTGTTCTTTTAACAGTCCCTCGTTATAGTTTCCTTTTTTACCATCTGCCCTGTGGTAATGACACAATTCAAACAAACACTATCACAACTACTGGACAAATGGTGAAGTTATAATATGTTAATGTGGACGGATTACTACATCCCAGGCATAGGTGAATTAAAACAGAAAGCTCTGAACACATATAATCACGATTAAACACACACACATACACAAGCACACAAAGTAATGTTACTAAAAAATTACAACTCCAACACCAAACCTATAGATGTATTCAGAATTTTACTTAAAGGCTTAAAATTGCAAAAAGTTCCAATCAAAACTGACTGGATTCAGACAATATATTACTTGCCAAGATTTTTAAGCAAAACGATGCAATTGTTATAAATCACACTTAAAATACACTTTACATTTAAATTTTAACTCACTCAGTATATCAAGAAATACTGAAAAAAAGTAAAGAAACCAGAAATTAAGACAGATATTAAGCATTCCCACATGCCTACTCCTAAACAAGCTTTGCTTTTACTATCATAGAAATCACACTTGAGGGAGGCTGAACTGTCACCCAGTTGGCACACAAACCAAATGAAACAAAAGAGTAATATATTTTAGGTCGTTATAGAAGAAAATCGATAAAGTATTTAGGTTATATTAAAAATCACCTAGTTTCGATCTCAAATTATTTTCCTCTACTTAATAACCTGGGAACGGTTTGACCAATGGGGCCACAGATCTCCAGATATCCTCAAGGGTCACATACCAGGCCAGACACTGTTGGGAGAGGGATAGGGTGAAGGAGGTGTGGGCAAAAGGTCATGAGGGACCGAGGTGAAAGAGCCAGGACCAGACATCTGACGAGACTTCAGCAACCTGGGGCTGAAAAGATGTGTTTAGTGCAGACATCTTTTTTTATAACAAAGTGAAACAGTAAGACGCTTGTACATCACCAACAAAAAGTCATCATGACAGTAATGTCTCTAAGACTGAGTTTAGTTCCACGTTCCATTACGCAAAACTTCAAGGCTCTCCTGTTTCGCTGTAAAACACCTTACAACTTCGCACCTGGTCTACTCAAAAAATGGGACTCAGGGGAACAGACAAAGGTCAAGTTCCTGTGACAGGACAGGAAGGGTCAAGACTAAAGAAAGAGACTTTAAAAAGAATAATGAAGAAGAAAGCACCCACAGCGTAAAGCAAGGACTCCGGAGCCTCAAGAGACTTTGGCATCAATCAGACCCTGCCTCCTGTTGAAGGCAGCACGCTGAGGCGGAGGCCAGCCAGGGCACCACTGACGACCAGGACCCAGAGCCCCGGCTACCCAGCACGAGCCCCAACCAAGATCACCTTTCCCTGGTACCCTGCACCACTCTGCATGGGCAGCCGGAGACCTCTGCATGGGCCCCGAGAACATTCTTCATGGCATCTCGAGACCGGCATCCGGCCCAAACTCCTCGGTCGCCCCGAGGCCACCCCCATCTCCCCGGCGGATCGTAGCCCGGGTCCCCGCCCGCGGGGCCGCTGGGCGCCGCGAGGGGAAGCGCAAGCGGAGGTATCCACGTCCCGGCGCCGGCACCACATGACCTTGCACCCGATGTCCGGGCCGCCTCACCTTCCGCCACGTCTTCGTCGACGGCGCCCTTCACCTGCGAGAAGCACCACTGGAAGTCGTTGCCGCCCGCGGGGCAGCCGCCGCCTCCGGCTCCTGCAACACAACGAGCGGTCAGGCCGGCCGCGCCCGCCCCGCCATCCAGCCTGCCATCCCGCCCGCGTGCCCAAAGCCCTCACCTGCCATGGCAGCAGCGCGGGACGGGGCTTGCCCAGCCGAGCGCGCCCGACCGGAGGCGCCCCGCCGAGCGCTCAGCTCCGGCCGCAGCCGCTGCTGCTGCCGCCACCGCCGCCGCCGCCGCCGCCGAGGAGGGATTTTTTTTTTTTTTCCCTTTTCAAAATGGCGCCCAATGCTCGTCGCCCCGCTGGATGACGTCATCCCTCTCCGCCTCCTCGGACAGCCCATGCCGCGGGGGATGTCGGGGGCGCGCCGCGCGCAGACTGAGTCTGCGCCAGCTGCCTTGACCTCGGTACGGCAACGCCCCTAGGGCGCTGGGGCAGTGTGACAGAGTGCAGGCTGCCTCTTCACCCTCGGTTTATGGGGCTTCTGGCGTGCGCCGGACACTTCCCTCAGGATCGACCAAACGAGTAACCCGAACCTGAGAGACGATCCGCACAGGCCGCCCCTAATGTCTCCTCCTCTCCGAGCCAACTCTACCTCTTCTCTTTTCAGCCAATGGAAGAGCGGGTCCTTCGCAGATCAGCCAATGGGAGGAAATCGGGGGTAGGTTGGAGGGGGAATCAGGTTTGGATCTCACCTGAGCTTCGATCACCTGAGCGCGTTGTTCCGCCCGCTGTTCGACTCTTTTCCCCGTTGGCGCCAGGAGCCCGAAGTCCCACCTTTGATTGGAGCCCCCTTCCCAGAGCGCACCGTTGCCTGCCAAATTGCTACTTTAATAGCTCTTTGAACCTCTAGTATAGTACTAGGTAAACGAGGTCGACCTTTTCTTCATTTGCGAGTATATTTCTCTGGCATACCGAGAGACCATTCCCTTACAGATTTGATGTATCCGAAATCACAGCTTCTTCCAGGAATGTGAAATTAGCAGTGAGTGTGTTGCATCACTAGAAGACAGTTACTTCAAAGCAGGAAATTTATCCACTCACATATTTATTGATCAGGTCCTGGCCTGCGCCACACACTGTTCATGTGAATTGGGATGCAGTTTTGGACAGCCAACAAATCCTCTGCCCTGGTGAAACTTTCAGCAGAGGAGCGGCAATAAGGAAAAAATAGGTCACGTGGAACGTTGAAAAATATAAAGCAAAGGAGAAAGAAGAAGATGTGTAGCAAGACAGCTGAGGTTTTAAATGGGTTGACTAGAGAAGACCTCAGGAAGACAAGGGCCCAAGCTGTACACACAGACATCTGGGAAAGGTTGTGCCAGGAAATAAAGACAGCCAGTGCAAAAGCAGGACACAGGACTGCATCTGATGTGTTTGAGAGGCTGCAAAGGTGATGGGGTGGGGGGAAGGGGGGAGAATGCAAGGAAGAGAGAGGAAACTAGGGATAGGAGGAGAGGCAGAGAGGTAAAAACCGGAACTCGTAGGAGGTATGCCATTTCCACAACTTGTACTCCAGGTGAGATAACTGGCTGTGGACCATGAGCAAGGCTGAGTCATGATACACTGGAATTTTAACTGGGCCACTGTGCTCCTCTACTACTTCGAAGGCAGGGCCTCCAGGATTTGCAGGTGGAATAGATGCAGTGCGTGAGAGAAAACTCAAACCACTGCACAATTGGAGGACCTAGGAGAATTAATCCCTATAGTACTTTCTAAGCAGTGCCTGTGTCATAGAGTAACTCCAATTTTCTCTTCCATTTCCCTTTTTTTGGTGGGGAGGGGGGGAGACAGTGTCTTGCTATATAGTTCAGGCTGATCCTGAACTTTCTGTGTAGCCCAGGCTGGCCTTGAACTCGAGACAGTCCTTTTGCCTCAGCCTCCCAAGTGCTGGTCTTAAGGGGTATACCACCACACCAGGCCTCTCCCATTTCTTATGACATTCCTGACAGTCATTCATTTCACTTATCCAAAAGCTATAATCTGATTACTTGGTTGTTGTACTTTAAATGAATAAATCTATTAAATCATTTAGGAATGAAAAATATAAAAGATTTAATTTTACCTTTGTTTCTTCTCTAACATTTTTTTCTTTATGTAGATTTGATCTATATCATTTTCCTTCTCTTTAACATTTCTTACAAACCAGGTCTGCCAGTGACAAATTCCCTCAGTTTTTGTCTGAAAAAGACTATTTCTGCTTCATCTTGGAGAGGAGGAGGGGAAGGGAAAGGGTATGTAAAAAGAATTAGGATGTGTTATGTAGATGTACCAGGTCCCTGTGATGAATATAATCATTATATACTACAATGTGTACTAATAAAAAATTTTAAAAGCATAATTGTATTGGTTACAGAGCTTTGTGTTGATAGGGTTGTTTCCCCCATCAGTACTGTAAGTATTTCACTCCAGTCTCAACTTGCTTATGTGATTTTTAGGAAGGGAAGTCTAGGGTTGCTGTTATCCTTGTCCTAATGCTTTTTATCTATCAAGATTTGTGTGAGCTTCATTTTGTATAACAAGACATAATGACTGTGTGTGTTCACACCCAATTCCAGCTGCCATTAGACATTCTTTCCATAAGTTTCTAGGCAGGTAGGAAAAGACTTGGTAGACTGCTGGGCTTGGTCCAATGAGGATCCCCACATAATTGTATGCCAGGATGGGTTTAACTCATTTTATTTGTCTCCATTTACAAATGGAGAAGGAAGTCAAATACTGCCTGAGTGCTAAGGCTAGAGCAAACCTCCTTCCTGTCTACCACCCAAGACTGTTCTTACCATATGCTCAGCTCCCACCTGTTCATGACAATACACCCCTTTCACTTTGCCAACATATTCCTGGTCATAATTCCCATGCATTTAGCATAGACAGTCCCGGGTCTTCCCATTTCTGCATAGACATGCTTTGCCCACTGAGGCCATATGTCCAACCATACAGCCCAGCTGCATTGTCTGCAATAGTCTTCCTCAAATATTGCACCACCAGCTGCTGCATCGATAGGTACCTTTCTGTGGATATCCCACCAAGCCTAGGAGGTTGGACATTAGACCTCTACCCTGTGTTTTATCAAATAAATATTAAAATCGTAGATCAAAAAGCACAGAATAGTGTTCCAGACAAACAGGGACTTCCAGTTCGTTATAGTCTGTGTCCCAACAATGTTTTGCTAATGTCACATACACAGTAAACCATGAATGTTCTAGGCTGAGAGAATGAAGTGTGTGTATCCTACAGACCCAATCAAGCATGCAAACATGCGGCAGTCTCTTGTTGGGCAGAGGGCTTTCAGATGAACTGCCTGACTGCTGGGGTACCACCCTCATTTCTCAGCAACTTCGTGAGTACATGCAGTGGTCTCTGCAGTAACCATAGGGAGCATTTTTAGTCCTAGCTATACGGACAGTTTTTATAACTCATCACACAACCTTCTCAATTCTCATACATTTTAAAGTTGTATTGTCGGTTACACTATTAAAATGACTTTTAAAAGAAAAAAACTGAAACCAAATGTGGTGGTACACACCCCAGCACTTGGGAGACTGGGGCAGCAGAATTGTTTTGAGTTTGAGACCTGGGCTGGACTATAAAGTGAGTTCAAGGCCAGCTCAAACTGCATGGTGAGATTTTGTGTCCAAAAAATGCATTTCAATGCATTTCAATATTATAGGCTTATCTATGATGGAAGAATTTTGAAATTTTAATATTTCCCTTTCATCAACTTTCCCAGTGACAGGAGTGACTGGAAGTTCCCACAACTGTCCTCTCTTTGCTTTTAGTGTTCCTGCTACATGTGTTTTGGCAGTGACGTCACAGATTTTTAATTCTTTTTTCTCCCTCCTCAGGATCCTTGCTGCCCCTCCTAATTCTCAGCTGTGCCTCCCTTCTCCAGTCAGAATTGTGGAGTCAATGCTTTCCTGCAACTTGCTTGTGCGTCAGGAATGTTTAATTTTAGCTCATGGCTCTCAGCTCAGTGCAGGCAGCTGGGTGTTTTTTGTGTTAGAGCTGAAACCATGAGCTCCCCTGCCTCAGGGCCTGAAGAGCATCATGGTTCTCAGGCCATGGCTAAGATCCTTTGAGAACTCTCTGTGGGAAGGTTTCAAATCTCCCTAACAAGGTTAGGAAAATTTCAGAGCCTGTTAGATTTCATGGTATAGTACATTCATCCAAGAGGTCTTCCACCTTATGAATTACTATTTTCTGAACTATAAATTGAGAGAACCAACAGGGAGAACAATGTGGTTGTAATGAGGTAGGATAGTGCATTCCATTATCAGCCAACTCATTTGCTTCTTGGAAGGAAATTGTGTGTTGAGTTCCCTCAACAAGTGCCAGAAAGGCGAAGATGAATTGCAGGGTCTGGGAATATAAAAACTTCTAGAAAAGAATGGGAGAGGAAGAGGAAAATGGCAGTGTGGCAGTGGGAAATGTGCCAAGTAGTTCTTCAGAGTGCAGGTAAGTTAATGAACACCTTATACAAACCCTCTGAGGATAAGTTTCACAAGGTGCTGGGGCATGGTGGCCAAGGAGATATGAGGAGAGGGTTCTAAAATTTGGAAGGAGAGTTCCAAGACGGTTTGTAGAATCAGAGTCGAGACCAACTTTTAACAAGACCTCCAAGGGATACAGGGACCCAATATAACATCATAGCTTCTTAATATTCCTTTCTGCAAAATAGTAGCTGTGTATCTTAAATATTTAGATAGAGAGTTATGATTAAAACTACTTCAACTGCTATGAGTGTGTGCGTACATAATGATATATTTTTGAATGAAGACAACAAAATTGAATGGATAAATTTTGTGAACAGCTTCCCTAATATTAGTAATTATGTGCAGCATGTTCAGGGAAAACATCTTCCAGAGGAAAAAAGAAAAAGTCCTGGTTTTCAGTGTTTGTCAAGTCCTGTAGTGTAGAAGTTTATACCACAGCCAAATTCAGGTTACCGAATGGATGCCACTGAAGGTGGGAAGAGCAGGGCCCCATCCACAAGTGACTCCAGAACACCCTGCTTCTAAGCACTAGGAAAAGGAATCTTGTTGATCTGCACATTCCTGTCCAGCAGGAATTCTATCTTAGACACAGCACCGTGACCACACACGTACTTAGGAACTAGATGGTTGGGCTCTGGCTCTGTTTCATTCTCACAGCTCTGTGAGGTCTGTCTCCTGGGGCATCTCTAAAATGGGTTCCAACGATGGTGTGAGCTCTCAGTATATATCTGTACTGTTTGCATTCATTGTCTCAGAAGTTACTAAGCATTGAAGACTAGACCCGAAGGCTGATTGGCTCCCACAGTCTCCTACAGAGCAGAGACAGTGGCCTCATTTCTGAGATACTCAAAGTGACTTCTGGAGCAGTTGCCAGTTTCCTCGTTTTTGTGATTCCCTGGGTAGTCCTCCTGTCACACACAAGCGTGGACTTAGTGAGGACTATGTTGTGTGCCAGGTGGGTCCAGGCCCTCCTTCTAAGAAGGGGGGGGGGCCCTCAATGCTGCCCTCATAAACACAGGTGGCAAGTGCTGTCTCCCATGAGGTAGTGCCTTCTTTTCATTGTTCTCCTGGCAACTTTTGCTCATTTATTTTTTTGAAATCTGTGGCAAAATTTTCCTTCCAGGAACTGAGGTGGATTTGTGAACAACAATATTGCTCTTGGACAAAGCAGCCAAAAGCACCAGAAGGGGCTGACATCTGGATCTACCCGCAGCAGCCCGCACCAGGTGCCAGCTTGCAGGGAGGGCTTACTTCTTGGTGACTTCTTATTCTCTTCCCCTACAATCCGTGAATGGCACCAACTCATGGGAAAAGGCTAGTGTCTGGACCTCCCCACAGTGGCCTGTGCATGGGGTGCTGGCTCTCAGGGAGGGCTTACTTCTTGTTGACTTCTTGTTCTCTTCTCCCACAGTCCTGAATCAGCACTATTCTTCTCCCAAGATGCAGCAGGTACATGGGCAGAGGCCTGAGGCCCATACGCTGAATGCTAAGGCTTTGGGAAAGGTTGATACATGAATTGAGAGATTCAGGCTTCATGTCCCACTCTATGGCTGGTGGGAGCCCTTTGACTTGAGGAAGTGAAAATGGCTCCTGTGTAAGCAGCTCACTCCAGGTGGTAGGTGGTCTCCAAGAATGGAGACCCCTGACAGCACACAGGGTTCTGGCTCCTGGGCTTCCCTGGGCTGCCTCCCAGGGCAGGTAACTGGTGCTTCAAAGTTAAGAAAAATGGTTAGAATTGAGAATGGATTTAAAAACATATTAGGTGGGGGCCAAGGATTTAGCTCAGTGGCATAAGAACCTGCCTGACAAGCACAAGGTTGC